AGGTGTCAAAACCTACTCTCTACTAGTATGGTTGTGACACAAGGCACTCGCCCGCAAGGCGCGACACGAGATGTGAGCCAGCTACACACATGTCACCTCCCACCAAATTAAGTTCTCAGATAAGGACCTTGAAGGTATACATGCCCCATACAATGACGGCCTTGTGGCCTAGATCGACCACGTTACAATTAAACGGATTTTGGTCGATGGAGGCACCTCAGATAACATTTTGTCGTTTTCTACTTACATAGCCTTATGATGGGAGCGAGGTCAGCTAAGGCCTAGCCCCAACCCACCGGTGGGTTTTGCAGGTGAACCAGTGACCCCCGAAGGATGCATAAACATTCCTATCATTCTGAGGGAAGGAGAGCACCAGATCACAAAAAAGGCAGAATTTGTGGTAGTCGAGGCTAGGTCAGCATACAATGCAATATTCGATCGACCTATCATCCACGACCTGCAGGTCGTACCATCGACATTGCACTAGGCACTGAAATACCCAACTTCCAAGGGAATTGGAATTGTGCAACGCGAACAGAAGACCTCTAGGAAATGCTACATGAGCAGAAGACCTATAGGGAATGTTAAGTAGTAGTGTTCAAACCAACCTGTGCAACAATCACGGGGGGTTCAAGCTCAAAGAGAAAAAAGTGACGGGCGAGCCAAATCGGGGAGAGCCCGTAAAAGACCTAGTGCTCGTCCCATTGCTCGACCAAGAGAAGCGAGTGAGCATTGGCACGAAGTTGGGGGCCATTAAGAAGGAGGAGCTCGTCCAATTCTTGAAAAACGACTCTAATGTGTTCACGTGGTCACATGAAGACATGCCTAGGATTGACCCCAGCATAATGGTACATCACCTTAACATAGACCCTTCTGTGCGACCTGTAATACAAAAGAAGACGGCCTGTAAACGCTGAAAAAAACACAACTATTGTAGAAGAAGTTCAATAACTTTTGAAAACTGAATATATCAAGGAAGTTAATTACCCCGCGTGGCTCTCGAATGTTGTGTTAGTAAAAAAATCTAACAGAAACATGGAGGATGTGTGTAGATTTCACTAACCTAAACAGAGCATGCCAAAAAGATGGCTTCACACTTCCTCGGATCGATCAACTAGTAGACGCAACTGCGGGTCATGAGCTCTTGAGGTTCATGGATGCCTACTCGGGGTACAATCAAATCAAATGCACATTCCCGACCAGGAGCACACCTCGTTCTGTTGGGTTTAGTGCCCTGAACTCGTGAGTTTGTAATATGTAAACATTTATTTATTATTAATAAAAGTTATTATTTTTCATTGCTTTGCATTTCTTGTATTCCAATAAACTAAGATCCAAGGTTATTTAATGTAACTGGAACATGTATATGTTTGATATACAATTAATATACTCGGTATATAAATTATATATGTTATTGGTATATAAGTAGATAATGTTCTAGTAATAACCTAAATGGTCTATAGCACATGGATAAGGTTGGGTACCTCATCCTGGTAACACTATAGATACGACTCGCTTTGTAACATTTACAAACGACTCTATCCAGGTCATTCATATAGTGACATGTGAGCAACGGTATCCTATACAATGAGTTTGTACAAGACTGGGCCGCGAAATTATTAATCAATGTTGTAACACCGTTAACTATTTAGATTAATAATTTACAAGATGATCATGTAACTCGATCTTAATCTTGAGTGAGTTACGAACTCCTATCTACGAGGGTTCGTCCTTTGATTCGTATGGGTGAGAGTGACCGGGTTGCCGACTCAACATTCCTACCATTTTGGGGACCGAACCGAATAGGGAGTTGAGGACGTAACTACGTGAGATGGAATTCACTCCTTTCCAACTTTAAGGAAGTAGATGAGTGTTCCCTTAAGGACTAACTTCGGGACTTGAGGGGCCCACCCTCTCATTGACTCAAGAGGGACTTCCAGTAATTGGTCGAACCATAACTGAGTTGTTCATTAAAGGATTAGTAGTACTTAAGGTACAAGAAGTAACCCATGGGTAAAATGATAATTTGACCCAGCTGAGGTTATAAGCACTCGTGAAAGATCGACTTACTGTTAATGGTTATATCCATGGACGCAACGTGTTTTGTAGTGCATAAGAGTGCAACTATAGCTTTTTAGTGGAATGACCTATAGTTAATGAATGTTGTTTAAATTAATTAATGAGTTTAATTATTTAATCTCGAATCATTGGAGCTTATAGCCTACAGGTCCATTAGGTCTTATTGTTAGCTCACGACGGGTAAAATGAGGATCAAGAATTTGGAAGAATTTGAATTGTTCAAATTTATTAAGGGAACGTAAATTAGTGGTATAATATACAATTAAACTATAATGTATATGGATACATTATATTATAAATGAAAGATATTTTTTTAATAAGATTCAATAAATAATTGATATAAATTAGATTCATATTTAAACTATAGGTTAAAATTAATACAAATATGATTCACATTAAAACTATACGTGGGAAGCTTTTGATTATGATTTATTAAATATATGATATTTAATGAAATAAAATAATATTTAATTAATTAAATTATTTTAATTATTTATTTAATATTTAAATAATTAAATTAAATATTAATCATTTAATTAAATTTGATTTAATTAGTTAATCATATTTAATTTATTTAATTTATTAATTTTGATTTAAAATATGTTTTAAATTAAGTTAATTAACAATCTCTTTGCATTTTCTCAGGAAGGAGGCAATTATCTTCCCCACCTGCATAAATGCAGAACCTCTGCAAAAAGTTCTTCAAGGTTATGGTGTAAAAAAACTCTGCCAAAATCTCTCACCTTTTCTGAATTTCTAAAATGAATTCCCACAAACTCGGTCCACGCCGAAGTTATAGCAAGTAGAATGACTCGAGGCTGACCAATCAAGCTACTGTCTTTTTGCAGGGATTTTCTACAAAGGTTGGTTTTCTTCCCTGTTTTATGTTATGTGTTTCAAATTTCAAAAGAAAATTCCAAGAATGCGTTATAATGCTTCTGTTCTGGAATTCACATCCATTCACGTTCATCATAAATCAGGGGCTCTATTGCTATAAGGTGATGCCTTTCGGGCTAAAGAGTGCTGGAGGGACCTACCAGCGCATGATAAACAAAATGTTTGTCGAACAGATAAGGGAAATATGGAATTCAACATAGATGGCATGCTTGTGAAGACCAAACAAGCGACCTCGCACATTGCCGACCTAGTGGATACATTTTAGGTCCTCCAACGATATCAAATGAAGCTTAGTCTGCATAAATGTGCATTTGGAGTCTCTTTTGGCGAATTTCTGGGTTTCATGTTCAATCTGCACGGGATCGAGGCAAATCTCGAGAAAATTCGAGCTGTATTAGACATGCAACCTCATCAGAACCTGAAGTAACTCTAGTGCCTCAACAGGCGAATCACGCTCAACCACCTCGTGTTGCGATGCACCGATAAGTGTATGTCGTTCTTCAAAGTCTTGCAGAAGAAAAAATAGTTTGAATGGACACAAGAATGCCATATAGCCTTCGATGAGTTTAAAAGCTACCTGAGTTCAATGCTGCTGCTCTAAAAACAATTACTAGGAGACGAGCTCAATCTCGTAGTGTCGGCAAGTGCGATAAGCTCGGACCTAATCAAGCAAGAAGCAGGTTGGTAGAGTCCAGTATACCATACCAGCAAGGCAGTGATGAACACCGAGACACGCTATCCGCATATGGAGAAGCTAGCGCTAGCTTTGGTTATAGTAGCACGACAACTGCGTTCGTACTTCCAAGCTCACAAGGTGAAAATCCTGACAAATTTTCCCCTCAAACAGGTCTTCCAAAAGCCTGAGACATCGAGAACACTCATGAAGTAGACACTCAAACTTAGCGAGCACAACATAAGCTTCGAATCAAGGACAATAATGAAAGGCCAAGCGGTTACGGACTTTATCACTGATTAACCCTGCCCCGCCAGCTCAGATGAGATAAGTAAACACAGTTGGATTGTGAATGTGGACAAGTTCTCCAGCGAAAAAGGTTGTGGACTAAGAAGCACAGACACGGATACGCGACACGGACACGACGACACGTCAATTTCCAAAAAAGTAGGACACGACACGCCTAGGACACATGAATTTTTTTTAATATTTATATGTATGTATATTTTAACATGTTATCAATATTTAATACTTTTAAATTAAACTTTTCCTTTTAAACATCAACATAAATACCATAAAATTCATATCATAATCAACGTCAACAATATCCAATATCCAATACAAACATGTTTTAAACACAAAAAATAGAAATTAAAATCAACCAAGCCTTTTACACATTTTCCCAACATTATCAGAGTCATCTACTTCACCCATTTGACTTCCATCATCAGTAAAAACTAAAACCTCCAATTCTAGCTCATCCTAGGGAAGTTATTTCAAGCATGCCTACATCCTCAAATGAATCAAAATAATCTCTAGCAATGTCCCACAATTTTGTATCTCGTTTTGCATATTCTGGAGTTCTTCTTGATAGAAGACGAAGATTGCTATGGATAAACACTAAGTCATGTTGAGGTTTCATCTTATTCCTCTTTAAAGAATACACAAATGAATATGTACTTCAGTGTCATTCACAACATGAGGAAGATGAAGGCTGCACAAGTAGCTTCATAGCTAATGTGACACGAACCGTCCCAGAGCACCTACTAGTTCAAGAACGGACCGCGCCGACCATGGACCCCACTAGGTGCAGAGTCTATAGTCGAAAAACTTCTAGACTTTTAAACCAACTTTTAACATCACTTCTATTCTTAAATTTCTTCTAGATACACTATTCATTATGTAACTACAAATGATATGCAATTTCTTAACGACTCTGGGTGGCAGAAACTGGTCCATTCTCTCTTTGAAACTCAGATACAACCTGGGGGAAAAACAAAGGGTAAAGAATGAGCTGAGAAGCTCAGTGAGTGGTAAATTAATACAAAATAATAATAATAATATTGTAAAAACTTCTTTCATAAACAACTGAAGTTTCTAAGTTTTGCAAAACAAACCTTATAAAACTGTTCTAATAAATATTCTCATTAAATCTCATAAAACTTTAGAAACTAAAACCCATAAAGACTTTCTCATAATAAACGTGTAATAGCACGCATTCTCTAAATAAATTTGTAAATTGTTCTCCTGAAATATTAAACAGAATTAGGAAAACACTTTCTAATATCACATAAAACATTTTCCTTCAACCAATAAATAGGTTCAGAAAACTCAACACCACACATGTATCCACATTCTATTCTGGTCTACTAGCGTAGAGTAATCTCAATACGCACAGTAGAATAATTCTATTTCTAGTCTACTGGCATAGAATAATCTCAATATACACAGCAGAATAATTCTCTCAACACGTGGAGTAAAATTGTTCCAAAGACCTTCTATTTCTGGGTATACTATAGAAACACATTCACATAGCATACGGGTAATCACCTGGATACAACAATATGGTGGTTTGAAAACTTATTTCTGCATAAAATTTTCAATCTCACAAACTGTTCTAAAATTCTTCTTTCTAAGAAATTTTCTTTCTTTCTCAATTCATTTCTAAAATATTTCTTTCTAACTTTCTCAAATCTTTCTTTCTAAGTCATTTCACAACATTCTATTTCTCAAACGATTATGAAATCTCTCGATCTTAATAACACTTCATAATAGTTTCTCAAAATCTTTCTGAAATCTTTCTTTCTAAAAACTTCGTACAATCCACTGAAAATATAAAACATTTCTAATTCTTATCATAAACAGTTATTCTAAAAATATTTCTAAATCACTCTTTCTAACCACATTTCAATAAACTTCAAACATATTCCTAAACCACAAATCATTTCTCCAAATTCTAAAACATTTCTAAATTCTTAAACAACCAGAGTCATTTTCTAAATTTTCAGAAACATTTATAAATTTTCCAAACATTTTTAAATTCTCGGCAAAAGAAATTTCTCAGCAGAAATGCTAAAACACACATAACATATGTACTTTCTTGAAATTCTACTATGATATACTTCTAAAAACATTTCCAAAATAAACCACTCACAAATTCCAATAATAACCAAAACATTTACTAAAGTAATCACTCACAAATTCCAATAATAATATCCAAAACATTTAGTAAATTAACCACTCACAAGTCAATAATAATATCCAAAAACGTTGAATAAAGCAACCACTCACAAATCCTTTAAACTCGGTCGTCCTTTCCTCCAATTTCTGACCAACCTGAAATATCGATTTAATACCAAATTATTTTACTTAATTCTAATATCAACTACTTCCAAACTTTAATCACAGTATATTCAAACAAAACCAATTATTCAAAATTCCTCATCCTCTCTCTTCATTGAAAGCCCACTACTTCTCTTTCTTATCACCTTACACGTGTGGGACCCACAAACATAACTCAATTTTCTCTTTCCTTTCAACTTCACATTTTCBTTCATTAATTTTCAAACCACGAATTACCTCATTTCTTTTACCAATTGGCAATTCATTTTACTTTTCTTAATTTATTTTTATCCCAAAATCCCTTTCTCTCTCCTCTATTCAACAACCCATCTTCTTTTTCTCTCCTCTCTCTTCTCCTACCAAACCCACAGCCTTTTCTTCTTTCTTTTTCTTCTTGTGCAACTTCTTCCTTCTCTTATCAATTACCCTTCTCCGTTTTCCTTTTTCTTTTTATGAACTTCTCTCTAAATTCCTACTCTTCAAACCTTCTAAAATTCCATAAACTCAACCTTCAWTTTCCTTCTTCTTCTTCACAAATTCCCCTCAAATTCCACCATTAAAGATATCCATAATAACATTTACGTTTTCTGTAAAACGATTGTTAAGGCCAGAAATTCAAATTTTCTTCTAAGCAATTTCTTGAATATAACCACAAAAATCCACAGATTCACAGAATTTCTAAAGAATAAAACCCACAAAATTTCACCTTAAAAAGTCCTATAACCCATGATTTCTCCTACTTAGTTTTAAAAAACTTACCAAACTATGAATCCAGAACTCCATACCGCTGTTTTTAAAACAAATTTCTTCAAACTCTTCTTCTCCACTTCTTTCTCTTCTTCACCATCGTTCCCTCTCCCTCCTCTTTCCTTCTCCATTTTCGTTTCACCCCTCTCTGTTCTTTTTTTTTTCCCTTCTTTCTTCTTTTCTTTTCTTTCCTTTCCTTTTCTGTTTCTCTTTTTTTTTTTAACACGTCATACACAACTTCCCTAAGGCAACACCACACACACACGTGTCGCCTTAAAAATTCAAACCAAATTCTTTTTTTTCCTCTTTTCTTTTAAGTTAAAAGACCAATATACCCTTTAAACTCTAATCTTTAATAGTTCCCAAATTTCTCTCTTTCTTTTTTGTTACAAAAAGACTAAACAGTCCTTACGTAATGTCTGCAAAGTTGGTGCATAGACACCATGGATGGCCCACCAACTTTTAGGATCCATAGAGTACCTTTCACCTATAGAATCATAGTCAGCAAATTCTGTAGCCATTGTAAAGAAATTGGTGAACTCCAGGTGTACCTTTGAGCGTTTCTCATTTGTACTAAAATACCTTTTAAGACATTTCATTCTCTCTCAAGTTACTTCCAAACCTTGATGTGGTGAGACTCGATTATTGTCTTTTTGAAGCCACTCTTCACTGTAATACCTAGATAGAATATAAAATATATATCAAACTCTAGAGTGTGATTAGAAATAAAAATAGGAGGTAGTTCTAGAGTACCTTGGATTAAGAAGTGTGCCAGATAGTGTAGTGGAGTATTATTTTTGTTCCATTGATCAATCAAAATTTAATGCACCACATCATAGAAAGACAAGACTTTATCCAAATGCTTTCCTTCATGTCTGTAGATTGCTGCTTTAACTTTTTCGACCATTGTATCTCATATATCATATACCAAATGAAGACAAGGCTTGTCTGTATCACAAGCTCTGATCATATCATATATGGGTGAAGTAAAAGAAGGGATATAATTGAACTTATCCCACCAAATTGTTGGGTTTTATGCCCTAAACTCGTGGTTTGTAAACATAAAACAAATATTCAACAATAAAGTTGTTATTGATAGAATTGCATTAACTCAATCCAATAAACTAACATCTGAGATTATGTCATGTAACTGGAACAGTACATAACAGATATACAGTATATATTTAATATACAGTATATATATTTGATATACAGTGTATATATACAATATATATTTGATATACAAGTGGATAATGTTCCAGTAGTAACCTAAAGGGTCTATAGTATATGGATAAGGTTGGGTACCGTATCCTGGTAACACTATGGATACGGCCCACTCTGTAATAGTTACAAATGACTTGATCCAAGTCATTCATGTGGAGACATGCGAGTGGGGGTATCTTATACAATGAGTTTGTATAAGATCGGACCACGAAATAATTAATCTTTAACTATAACACCGTTAGCTAATAGATTAATATTTCAATAGGATGAAAAGGTAACTCGATCTCAATCCTGAGTGAGTTATGGACTCTTGCCTATTAGGGCTCGTCCTTTGATTTGTACTGGTGAGAGTGGCTCAAGTCGCCGACTCAATATGCCTACCATTTTGGGGACGAAACCGAGTGGGGAGCTGGAAACATAACTACACAAGATGGAATTCACTTCTTCCCGACTTCAGGGTAAGTAGATGAGTGTTCTCTTAAGTGCTGACTCCAGGACTTGAACAAGAGGCTCCACCCTCTCACTGGCCTGAAAGGGACTTCCAGTTATTGGTTGGACCATAACCGGATTGTTCATTAGAGGATCAGCGGTACTTAAGGTACAAGATGTAACACAGGGGTAAAATGGTAATTTGACCCAACTATAGTTACAAAAACTCGTGAAGGATTGACTTACCATTAATGGTCAAAATCCATGGACGCAAAATATTCTACAGTGAGAAGAGTGCAACTGTGGGTCTTTAGTGGAATGACCGACAGTTAACGAATGTTGATTAATATTGTTAATGAGTTTAATCAATTAATCTTGTATCATTGGAGACTCTGATCTGTAGGTCCATTAGGTCCCCTTGCTAGCTCGTAAATGATAGTTAAGAACATTTAATCTTGAAAAGAATTTGAATTGTTCAAATTTGTTAAAGGAAATTAAAGTTAATTGTATGAGATGCAATTAACATAATGTATATTAATACATTATAATATAAGGTTAATTTTTGAATTGGATTCAAAATTATGATAGAGATGTATATTGGAATTTGATTCTAATATGGTTAATTAATTTAAGTTTAATTTGATTAGATATGATTTAATTAAATTAATGGGATATGTTGATTAATTTAATTAAATATGATTTAATTAAATGAACAATTCTTTTTTTTTTTTGTGTAATTAATTAAATATGATTTAGTTAATTATTAATTCAATTAAAATAGCTTTAATTAAATTAAAATTAAAAAAAGAAAAAAAATGGAAAATGACCACTTGGTGGAAAGTGGAGAGGTTTTCCCACTTCCCATCATTAATGGTGGGAAGTGGGAAGTGGTGAGTGGGAAAATTGTGACTTCCCCACTACTCTTCCTCCCTTATAAAAGGGAGGCTCTCCCCTTCCGTTTTGGTCCCCGGTTCCTGAGAAAATCTATCTCGCTCTCTCGATTTCCCTTCCAATTATAAGACGGTTCCCACAAACCGAGTTCTTAACGTTGAGAGGATAGCGAATGAGACTTTGTGGTGGCGTTGATATCTATATTGAACAGGTGTCTTCAAAGGTATGTATCACTAACTTCTTGTTATTCATGCTTATGTGTTTTTTCTTTGTTGCAATTCTAAAACAAGATCGAAGCACACGAGCTCGCGCGCTTCCTCTGCGGGATCCGATCCCTTCACAAATATGATCAAGTACCAAATCTTTTACATGTTTTGCTTTCCCTATGTCATCTTCTCTGTAGCAAGACCATTTATCACTAATAACCATTACTTGCAAACCGCTTTTATTTAGCTTGAATCTTTTAAGCATAATGATCGTGGAGGAAAAGCGTGTTTCTGCTATGGAAAGTAACTTCAAAGATACAAACTCATTGAACATAGCAAGCCTCATGGAATGATTTATTATCAAATTATTTACCACTAGAAATTTCATAAATCCAACCACTTTCATTAAATACATCTTCATTACCTTCAATATTTCTTGCAGCACAAATATTCTTCAAAGCAAGATTGAGAGCGTGAACTACACATGGCGTCCATACTATGTTTGAGAATTGCGACTCAATAATTTGTCCTGCAGCTTTACAATTAGGAGCATTATCAGTGATTAGTTGGATGACATTCTGATGTGTCACTTCATTAATGACTTCTTTCATCAAATTCGCTATGAAATGTTTATCTTTAATCTCACCAAAGAAATCTACAGCTTTAAGAAACATTGGTCCTCCTTCAGTAATTGCCATGAAATTTATTAAAGGGCTTCTTTGAGAATCTCTTCATCCATCACTGACAATACTTACTCCCTTTGTACTCCATGTGCTTTTGATAGGTTGCAACAATCTTTCAATATTAGCCTTTTCTCTTTGAAGAAGTGTTGTTCTCAACATATTACCCCGGAGGTATATAACCCGTCAACGTATTATTTGCAGCAAACATAAATGCATTAACATAATGTAGATTTCTAGCCAAATGAAAATGCAAGCCTGAGCAATAAAACATCCTAGCAAATTGTGCATGCAAAGGATCACGGGTTGCCATATTAAATGACTTTTCAAGAGCACTAGTACTACATTTTCTTTTCTTTTGTTCCATGGCGGAAAAAGAATAGCTACTTGTATTTCCAAAAAATTGAGATTGGGTATGGTTGGAAGGTGGCAAATGAACTTTTCTTTGGAGCATTCTTGTGGCTTTTAAGTTTTACTTCATCTTCCAATTACTTTTGCATTTCAACAACATCCTTAGCGGTAACTTTCCAACACATTCCAATTCCATAACTACTTAATTTTATTAGGTGAGCCCTAACTCTAGTATAAGAACTTTTCTTAATTTCTTGACAAAAATTGCATTGCCAAGAAATATTACCTCCTCTTTCATTTAACCTTTGATTTTTTGTCACATACCGCCACAATGGTTTTGTTTCATCTTTATTATTGTTGGAATTTGTTGAAAGTATTTCATTTTGACTAGAAGAATGACTCAATCCTAAACAAAGATACACAAAAAAAACAAAAAAAAATAAAAAAAATGTACATTAACAGAGAAAATCAACCAACCACTTTATACAAGAAAAAAAAACAAATACATACCTTAAAAAGAAAAATGAGTGACTGTATTAATACTACCAGCCACCAGTTGTGGAGGAAATAGAACCAAAGAAAGTATTGAACTGCCGAAGAGAACTAAAGAAGCCGCTGATGAAAAATGAAGAAGAAAAATCAAGCGTGGAGAAGAAGAAACATTGCGCGTGGAGAAGAAGAAACGGAGAAGGAGGGAGGGAACGAGTTTTGAATAAATGCAATAACCTAATTCTAATTCTTTTAATTAAAAATAAAAACTTTAAAAGATAAGTGGACTGATTATAGTTCTTAAGAAACATGAATAAATATGGGCTTTGGGCTTAAAAGCCCAAAAGATTAGAGTTAAAAAATTGGGCTTAATACGTGTCCTCCAGCGTGCCGGCAACGTGTCGGCAACTAGGGGTGTTCAAAAAACCCAGTGACCCGAGCAACCCGAACAACCCAACCCAAACCGTAAGGGTTGGGTTGGGTTAGAAATTTTTTCAAGTTGAGTTGGGTTGATTTTTGTAAGAACAAAAAATTTGGTTCGGTTCACGGGTTAAATGAATTTTTGGCCCGTTCAACCCGAATCGAATTGAACCCAACATATATGTTATAAAGAAACCCCAGTCGCCTACCTTGTCTCCCTCTTCCTCCCCTTCCCTCTTCCTTCCGTCATCTCCATTTCCATTCTCTCATCTCCCTTCGTCTTCATCTCTTCTTTCACTATTGATCTCTTATTCTCACCTCTTCCACAAATCTCATAT